CTCCAAAATGAAAAGAGCAGGCTCTTTCTTTTATAGAGCAGGTTCTTCCCTCGGGTGTTCGTTTTTCAGTTTTTCTGTGACTGTGTGGGCTACAGAACTCGAATTTTGGGATTTTCAGATTCTGTTGGAAGCTGTATTGGAGTATTTAGAGATGTTCTAAGCCCTATTAAAGTTTCAGAGAGTAGGGTGATCCAAAATAATTCAACCGGAGTTTAGACTTGAACCGTAAACAATTGTTAATTAAACTAGTTTACTGTTCTTGGATGGAAAAGATTTTAAATTTCATAAAATCTTACATAGAAATTTCTTGTGTAACTTTCTCTGTTAATCATGTTCTAGTGTTAGGAAAATAAGCATGTGAATATTTAAATTCTAATATGTTTATTTGGAATTAGATCGGTTTACTGTTTCTGGATGGATAGTACTTTAAATTGCTTAAATCTTAGGATGGCAATTCTTAGTAATGGTTTGATAGTTAATTATGTACAGTGTTATTAAACTAAGCATGTGAACTCTTATATTCTGTTTATGCTTACTTGGAGTTAATTGGTTTACATGTATGACCGGTGGAATCAATTAATGTATTTTGCAGAGTAGTTTTGATTAAGACTGTTAATTTATGAAATTTTAACAGGCTTGATATGGAACAGTTGATGCTTATATTTATTTATTATGCTATCGATTGTGGATGTTATGGATTAGTTGGTATGTGCTTTGATTATATGCTTTATCAATTACTGGATGGATTGGATTGTATGCACCGGTATGGGACGGTGACATACTAGGTTCGGATTAGCTCAAAGTGTTAAATTCTATCTATTTTGGAAAAAGGGTACGGATTATAAAAACACAATTCTCCTTATATTTAAGTCTGTGCGGTTGAATAAGCTGAACGACTTACTGGATCTTTTATATAAGTCTGTGCGGTTGAATAAGCCAAACGAATTACTGGATTTCTTATATAAGTCTGTGCGGTTGAATAAGCTGAACGACTTACTGGATTTCCTATGGATGGATAGGAACGGATTTTAAATATATTATTATGATACCGTGACTTGAGCTTAAGTCTCAGAGTCAACGGTTAGGGAGCGTATATGCAATAGGACGCGTAGCTGGCTATGCTGGTTGAGGTGTACCCTGTTAGGCTTAGGTAGTCATGCCCACTCAAGTGCGTTTTGCATATTACCTTCTACTCAGGTTGAGACCCGTATTATAGTCCAGTGAGAGTCCATAGTGTGGATATATATATATATATCCACACTATGGACACGGATTATATAGTTATTGTTGAGTTGGTTAGAGTGTATATGCGTATCGAGTTTCTGCTTGGATTGTAGTAGGATAGAACTTGTTCGTGGGCCTGACCCACTCCTATTTTTCAGGTGTACGTCAGTTTCAGGCTTAAGCTTGTTCGTGCTGAGCAGAGGTGACCACTCATTCTTCCGATGATGTAGGAGCTCTATTCATATGGTTTTCTTTTAGTTTTTCAGTTCAGTTTGGTTTTCTTATTAGGGGTCCACAGGATGGATTCCCGAGCTGTACCCTTAGAGGTTTTGGAGTTGGATTATTATTATCTGGGATTTTAAGTATTTAATTTTAAAGGATTTTATATTTTAGATTTCTTTCAGCTTAAACTATTATTTCTTAAATTCATCTTGTATTTTGTGTTCACTTTAAAATATTAATTGTTTAATATTCCCTCGAGTTTGGGCCTGGGCCTGATCAACCCGTGTCTCGGATCCAAGGGGTATCACAGTAAGTATATAAAACCCTGTAATCTCTTGTATAAATCTCCAAGTCTATGAACTATAGCTACACTTGAAGACATAAGTGGTCCATACTCTCACTCTCAGCCAAACATAGGTAACATCTATTGACATAGTGCTTATGGAGCATTGGCTTGGATTCTACTGACTGCTAACCAAGCTATGCAACTGTGCTTTGGTAGATGATGCTTGAACCAAATTAGCTTATGCCAGATAAAAATTGGGGATGGTGGTGAAAAGTAAACAGTGGTATGTGAGAATGAAAAGGCACCAGAAGGACTAGGCAACCACATAATGCTATCCTGCTGTTCAAAGGGAGAAGGTAAGGAATACAGTTGAGAGAGAAAGTTCAGTGATTGAAAGAACCGAAGGAAATTCAATGATAGAAGGACCATCCAATGATTGTAGGAAATTAGGCTATCACCTGTGGCCAAAGTGTCCAATTGAAGAATTTCCAAATCATTCAGTCCTAACTGCTTTACAATTGGGCCATTTGGAAGCCAGTAATCCAGCCACAACTTTGTATCCTTCCCACACCCTACCCTATACTTGATAATACCTCTTGCCATTTTCCTTAACCTTAGTAAACTCCTCCAAAAACCAGAACCAAGTGTAGAGGGCCTGATATTCTAAAAACATTTGTCCTTAATAAGATAACAGTAACTCCAGGCCACCCAAAATCTCTCCTTCCTTAAACACAACTTCAAAATATTCTTAAAATTTGCAACTCTACTTGAAAGCTCAAGATCAGGGAACCTAAGCCACCATATATCCTGGGTCTACAAACTGCAGTCCAAGCAACCTTTCCTCCCCTCTTTTTAAGTTTAACCTCAGACCAGTAAAAGCTTCTTAAAATCTGGTTGATTTCATCAAAAACCCTCTTAGGAAGCACACATGCTTGGGACCAATAGGACTGAATGGAATACAACACTGATTTAATAAGCACCGCTCTCCCAGCATAAGATAAGAATCTGGAGGTCCAATTCCCAACTCCTCTACTGATCATTTCCACCAAAGTATGATAGTATCTAGCTTTAATTGTTGTGGTAGACAATGGCAAGCCTAAGTAGGTGACTAGAAGAGTCCCAGCATCAAAATGTAGGAGTGCTAAAAAGGAGGACTTGGTTTGGCTATCCACCCTTGAGAAGAATGCCTTGCATTTAGAAGGATTCAATTCTATTATTTCCTAGCTTGAAATGAAAGAGTAGACATTTACAACAACTACAATGAGAATTAGGAGATTTGTTTATTCAAAGACTACTGTATTTATCTTATAGTTTTAGATATGTTCTTTGCGTTTCAAAGTATTTAAGTTTTGAGACAAATATGTCGTTTGATATACAGCTTCAAAACTCAACAACAATAAATTAAGTTATAATTTGCCAAGGTGGATGGAATCCTGGGTCAAATGCTGATGATCTATTTTATGAGCGAGCCTATCAGAAAGAAAATAAAAGTCATTATTAAATCTGGGGGTTTTGGGATATAAAGGTGGAAGATATAGGAATGTAATGCCTATATCATATTATCAACATAAATAAAAATTTCATGTAATTGAATAATTTTTAAGAAAATAGTCACAACACTTCTTAATTAATAATTCGAATTATGATAAAAGTAAAAAAAAAATAAAATAACAACTACCAAAAACGTGAATGGAGCTACGTTTGATGAAGGATGAGTGAAGCAGTATCAGCTGCAACTGGTTTCAAATGGAACTTGTTGATGTTGTGGGCCTGCTTGTTGATATACCCCATTGGGCCTTGTAATCTTCAGCCCAATGTAACTATTTGTTATGTTTAAATAATTTGTTTAACCTTTTAAAAATAAATAAAAAAATATCCTCCTCACAATCCTTACTTTTTTTTAGCACTAGTCTGTGAGATAATTTAAAATACGTTAGTGTAATATAATACAATGTCTTAGTTTTTTTTTTTTTTAATTATTTTGAAAGGTATTTGATGGTGTTAGTTTGTGCAAGTATCTAATGGATAAAGATATGAGAAGATTTGCTTGATTTTTTTAATCCATTTTTAAGTATATGTTTATTTGGTGTCATAGAAGGGTATCAAATTTTATTTATTTTTTTATTTTTCTTTTTCCGTGTAATTCATATATCACGTGAACGACCACTTTAAATATGAAATGCACATGGTCAGACTCAAATAATCAATTATAAATTATAATTGAGTTGGCATAACTACTATATAAAAATATGATCTTTTCCTGTCATGTATCATCGATATTCGTCATTAAATTAATATATAAAAATATTATTTTAGTGATAGATGCACATGGGAGGGGAGGACTATCCACATGTATCTGATCATGAATTTACGAGGTCTGTAAGTACTTTCTGATCTTTTACAAAATAAAATTTTAACTTAGCATTTACTTGCAGTTTATTATTTACCCAAAAAAAAAAAAAAAAATTATTTCCAACTTAGCAAGCAAAAGGTTTTCCACCAATAGAAAGTGAAAAAATATTATCTTCCTTGTACATCATCTCTCTGCAAAATTTTCCCCAGATAAACACAGTTTTTGAAAGTAAATTTAATTATAAGTGATAAAAATGAATAAGATGATGACTATCTCCGAGAGATTTTGTTGAAGAGTATCACACTCAACTAATTGTCGGTTTGCCAGCATCTGCTATGAACATCTTCCGACAACTGACGCTCATTTAATCGATCAAGAGAAAAGTAACTTCTAGCTCCCGCTTATTCATTAAAAATTATGTTTTCCTGGATTTTCTTCATACAATAAATATATATATAGATATATATAATTGTGATTGATTGTGTTATTTTTTTATTTTATATCTTGCATACTTTAATGCTCTCACCCACTTTTCACTAAAAAAACAAGCAGCCTCTCGTCTCTCGCCCACCTAAACCTAATTACTCCCTTCATAAATACCCCCCTTCTCCTCATTTGACACACGCTAATTCCATCCAAGTGAAAGAAATAAGGTATTCTCTCCTACCCTTTCTTTCAATTCGTCTCTTGAAGTTCGGGTTTAATAGTGTATTCTATGACGAGGATTAGGTCGGGGTGACCTCTATCCAGTGTATATTGGTGGAGTAACCCTATGTACCAGAAAAGAGTAACGGAGTCCTTCTTTGCACTAGGATTTAAAGTTCTGTTTTCTAGCATTTACAAGCACCAAATTATAAGTTATAACACATAACAATCAATATATAACTTTAAATTCTTTTTTTGTGGACCAGGTTTTGCATTTCTTGTAATGGCGTATGGTGGTAGTAACTCTATGTTTGAAGAACTGATTGTGAAGAAAGGAGAGCCAACCCTAGTTCCTCCTGCAGAGGAGACGGAAGAGAAGGGTCGACTATTCTTTCTCTCCAACCTCGACCAAAACTACCAGGTCTCAGTTCCAACCATTTACTGCTTTAAATCAACAGAAGAGGGTAAAGGCAACGAGAAAGCTGCGGAAGTAATCAAGGAGGCCTTGTCAAAACTTCTCGTTCACTACTACCCAGTTGCCGGCCGACTCACATTCGGCTCCGACGGAAAGCTAATGGTGGACTGCAATGGGGAAGGTGCTGTTCTTGTTGAGGCAGAAGCCAACTGTACCATACAAGAGATAGTTGACAATGCAGAACAAGGACTTGTCCATCTTGGAAAGAAGCTGGTTTATGATATTCCTGGTGCCAAAAATACCCCAGACATACCGCCTCCTTTAGTGGTTCAGGTATATATTAATTAATTCTACCATGCAATTTAATTAATTAATTATCCCAATTTTTTTTATTATTTTTTATTTAAAAAAACATCTTGCAGGTGACAAATTTCAAATGTGGAGGATTTTCTCTCGGGCTAAGGGTGTACCATTGTATATTTGATGGAGCTACTGCTATGGATTTCGTAACTTCATGGGGTGAAATTGCCAGAGGCTTGCCCCTGAAGGTTCCTCCATTTCTAGATAGATCCATACTCAAAGCTAGAAACCCACCCAAGATCGAGTTTCCTCATCACGAATTCGCTGAAATTGAAGATATATCAAACACCGCGGATCTATACAAAGAAGAAGAATTGGTATACAAATCATTCTGCTTTGACTCTGACAAGATTGCAAAGCTCAAAATGAAAGCCATGGAAGATGACGGGTCGGTTCTCGCCAAGTGCACTACATTTGAAGCACTCTCAGCTTTTGTATGGAAAGCTCGAACTCAGGCTCTAAAACTTAAGCCTGATCAAAAAACAAAGCTCCTCCTGATTGTGGATGGACGATCTAGATTCAACCCACCAATGCCAGATAAGTTCTTTGGGAATGGAGTTGCGCTAACAAATTGTCTTTGTAGTGCAGGTGAGCTAATTGAGAAGCCATTGTCATGTACAGTGAGACAAGTTCAGGAGGCAATTAAGGTAGTCACAGAAAGTTATATGAGGTCAGCCATAGATTATTTGGAAGTAACAAGAGCTAATCCTTCTCTTACTTCAACACTCCTCATCTCTTCATGGACAAGGCTATCTTTCCACACAACTGACTTCGGATGGGGAGAGCCTCTGCTAGCAGGGCGGGCGACTTTCCCCTTGAAAGAGACAGCATTGTTCCTTTCTCCGGGGAAATTAGATAGGAAAAGCATTTCTGTGCTTCTCGGTCTGCCAGCCTCTGCTATGAAGATCTTCCAAGAATTGACGCTCATTTGATCGATCAAGAGAAAAGTAACTACTAGCTCCCACCTATTCATTAAAAATTAAGTTTTCCTGGATTTTCTTCATACAATATATATATATAATTGTGATTGATTGTGTTACTCAATGTAAAACGATTATCCCAGTTTGGTTAATTTAATGGAGGAGGATGGAAATTTTTTTAGAAAAGTTCAATTCAACTTTGAGAATGCATGGAGTTAGGGGCAGCTAACTAAGTGTTGGGAATCAATGCCCACACATTCACACATTAGCCTAACAGAAAAAAGAAAATGTTGTCTATGTCCATAGCTCACATCAGTTTTATTATTTCCTAGCTTGAAATGAAAGAGAACATATACAACTACTATGAGAACTAGGAGATTTATTTTTTCAAAGAGTACAGTAATTATCTTATAGTTTCAGATATCTTCGATAGGTTTCAAAGTAGAAGTAGAAGGTGAGAATTTAACTTTTGAGACAAATTTGCCATTTGATAAAATTAAAAATTAAGAATTGAAAATTTTTAAAGCTCAATATTTTTTATATGGTAAATATTTTTTAATATCATTTTTTATTTTTATCGTTCAGCTTTAAGTGATATTTTTATCACTCAAAATGATAAGGGTCACTTAGAATAAGATATCATTTTTCATTAGACTTCGACAGACCCCAATAACTTGGAATTAAACTATGGATTCTGTTGATGTTTTTATGGGTGGGGGCAAAGACAATGGATTTTGGTGAATTGAAAAATAAAAAAGGGGTGTGTGATTAGAGGCAGGAATAATGGAATGCGCGCTGGTCCTTATTTACACTAGAAAAATGCGAAGTATGTAATATGTTGCTCAGATACAAAAGTTAAAATCCATGTCTACACTATATTTTGAATAATCCTAACCAACAAAATGATTTCAAATTCAATCTTTTATGTTAAGAATATTTACTAAAAAATATCACTATAAACTTCATATATATATATATATATATATATATAGCTTCAAAACTCAACAACAATAAATTAAGTATTTACCCAGGTCGATCGAATCCTCGGTCAAATGCTGATGATCTATTTTATGAGCAAGCCTATCAGAAAGAAAATAAAAGTCATTATTAAATCTGAGGGTTTCGGAATATAAAGGTAGAAGATATAGGAATGTAATCCCTATATCAAAATAAATAAAAATTTCATATAATTGAATAATTTTTATGAAAATATTCACAACACTTCTCAATTAATAATTCAAATTGTGATAAAAGTAAAAAAATAAAATAAAATAACAGCTAACAAAAACGTGAATGCAACCGTTTGATGAAGGATGAGTGAAGCAGTATCAGCTGCAACTGGTTTCAAATGGAACTTGTTGACGTTGTGGGCCTGTTTGTTGATATACCCCCATTGGGCCTTGTAATCTTCAGCCCAATGTAACTATTTATTATGTTTATATAATTTGCTTAACGTTTTAAAAATAAATAAAAAAATATCCTCCTCATAATCCTTACTTTTTTTAACACTAGTCTTTGAGATAATTTCAAATAGTTAGTGTAATATAATACAATGTCTTAGTGGTTAGTTTTTTTTTATTATTATTTTGAAAGGTATTTGATGGTGTTAGTTTGTGCAAGTATCTAATGGATAAAGATACGAGAACATTTGCTTGATTTTTTTAATCCATTTTTAAGTATATGCTTATTTGGTGTCATGCATTTGGTGATTTAACTCAGATAGGTATCAGATTTTATTTATTTATTTATTTTTCTTTTTCGTGTAATTTTATATATCATATGAACCACCACTTTAAATATGACATGTGTTGAATTAAGAAATTCAAAGATTTCTAGAATGTCAAATGTTTAAATTAGGTGTGTGAAAGATTGTATATTTGACCATATATAAAAGATATTCTAGGAATTGTGTTGCTTGATTCTAGGGATTATGTCTAGAATCAAGCTTATAAATACTCTGTAAAATTCATGAATGATATGAATGAAATACAATTCATTAAATTAAACATGGTATCAGAGCATGGTTCAAAACCCATTTGATTCATTGTTCCAATTTTTGTTTTCAAAACCCAGAAATTCATAGCCATCCTCAAAACCCAAAATCCAGAAATCTACAAGAATCTGGAGTTTAAAACCCATTACATATATCAAAACCCATATCGGCATATCATTTTAGATTGTTCAAAAAAAAAGAAAAAAGAAAAATCAAAACCAATATTCTTCACTAAACCTACCTTGTCTCTGCCGCTGCCATCACTAAATCCAGGCACAGCCGCCAATCAACAATTTCGGCTGGGAAAGAACCCCAACCAGAACCGCCGTTGTGAATCGCTATCGTGAATTGCCGCCGGTCGCTCTTCACGACTGTCGTCTTCTCCTTGCCGCGCCGCAAGTCCAAGCTAGCCATCTCGGTTACCGCCGGCGCCGAATCAGTCACCTTCGCTGCTCCCACCGCTGATCAGATCATCTAGCCGCCACCGCTGCTACCGAAGCCGATCTCTGCCATCAACCGCCGCAGGCTCACCAGTCCCGTCCTTGTGATCACTGACGCTTTCTATATATGTATATAATATATATATAGATATATATATTATATTTCAAAGGCCAAAAAAAAAAAAAAAAAAACACCTCTGTTTGGCCACAAGTGTAATTCTATTCGAGTTCTGGATTAGTTCAAAACTAAACCAGTTTTGTACCCTCATTTGAAAACTGGTTTTGTAATAAATCAGTTCCAAAAAAAAAAAATGCCACATTTGGATGAATGTTACTCTTTGGTTTGATGGGAGGCCCAGAACCGATCTAATCGAGGTCAACAAGATCGAGGACGACCAAACAACCGCAAATCTTCCTACAAATGCACTCATTGCGGTAAGAATGGCCATACCAAAAATTGTTGTTTTGAGTTGGTGGGATATCCAAAATGATGATGGAACTTCGACCCTAGTTAATAAGGAAGGATCTTTGACTCTAAACAATACATTCAAGTTAGAGTTTGTTTTAGTTGTTCCATCATTAGATTATAATCTTTTGTCAGTTTCTCAAATAACCTCTACCTTATCCTGTGTTGTAATTTTTTGGCCTAATTCTTGTGTGTTTAAGGACATCAAAACCAGGAAGACAATTGGTTGTGGTATTAGGCAGGGGAAGCTGTATTACTTGGACTTGGACTCAAAGAGTACCGAAAGTCTATAGCAAGCTCTGACAGTGGGTGGTTCTGAAGATACAAAAAGGAAAGAAATATGGTTATGGCATTGCCGGTTTGGGCATGCTTCCTTTTGCTATCTCAAAAAATTATTTCCCAGTTTATTTGTCAGAGTTGATGTTTCTAGTTTTCATTATGATGTTTGTGAACTTGCAAAAAGCCATCATATTTCGTTTCCATTACGATTGAACAAAATTCCACTCCCTTTTATAATTATTTATTCTGATGTTTGGGGACCATCTAAAGTCACTACTTTGGGTGGGTCACGTTGGTTTGTAACATTCATTGATGATTGGACCAGGATGACATGGCTTTGCCTAATGAAATCCAAAAGTGAAGTGCACTCAATATTGTTGAAACTCAGTACAATAGAAAGATTCAAGTTCTTCGTAGTGACAATGGTGGAGAATATCAGAGCACTGAATTTTAACGTTATTTGGAAGCACAAGGAATGATTCATCACACCACTTGCTCCAACACACCCCAACAGAACGGGGTGGCCGAGCGAAAAAATCGACACTTATTGGCAGTTGTCAAAACTTCGTTATTCGAAGCCCATATGTCATTATCTTATTGGGGAGAAACACTAACTTCTGCAACTTATTTAATCAACTGGGTACCCTCCAGCACTAAATTTCAAAACACTGTTCCAAACCCTTACTGATGCAATTGTTGCCCCAGCTGTCTCAAATTTACCTCCTTATGTCTTTGGTTGTGTGGTGTTCGTCCATCTACACAAGCATTAACGCACCAAGTTAACTCCTCAAGCATTGTGATGTGTCTTTGTTGGATATGCCACTCATCAAAAAGGATATCGGTGTTATCATCCTCCAACACGTCGATTATTTGTCATGATGGATGTTGTTTTCCATGAAGATACAATGTACTTCTCCAAACCTGAATTTCAGGGGGAGTACCAGAAAGAAATTCAAACTCTATATTATAATGAAAGTGATAATCAAGAGGTGGTCAATTTGGATATAATTGGTATAACATTGGATTCCAGTGGTGATGACTCACAGACTGAAAACAATCAAGAAATGGATTTAAGTGGTATGACATTAGATCAAAGTGGTGATGCAAGTGGTGATAAACACCCAATAACCGAAGAAGTAGATTTATCTCCAACTCAAACTGAAACCAAGTTCTTGGAAAATATGGCTCCATCTCCAGTCGACATATCACACCAATCGCTTACTGAAGATGTTCCTGAGCCACACAAAAGACAGTTGCCACAGCGTCACACCAGAGGTATTCTTAAACCTACATATGAACCTGAACTTTCTAGTAAAGTAAAATACCCTATGAGTCATTATGTGTCTAACCATGGTTTATCAGAATCAAATATGTCATTTGACGAGCCCCTTCATATGTGTTTAGAAAGTGAACTTTTTAATGCGAGAGGTCGCTTCGCAAGGTCAAAATATGATTGTGGTTTAAAAAGCCTTTCTAGTCAAATTTACATTTATAGAACTACTACTACAACTAATGAAGTATAGCAAGTAGGGATCGTCCACAGAGATTATACGTGTAGGAATTTAAATTCAACTCTAATGTACTAATTGATTGCAAAGAGAGAGATTGGTTGATTAAACTAAGATGTAATGAAATTAAAATACAAGTAAAGTAAACTAGTGAGAGATAGGGATTTAAGAGATGAGAAGTGAGGTCTTGGGGTGTATTCTAATTGCCACTAAGCTCGTTCACCAAACCACACACTTTCAACTAATTTGGGGAAAACATTCTTATGAACAAAATACGACTACCAATTGCAATATTAAGCATGGACCATCGAACACATGTATGAATTATCTACCTAACCGACAAATAAACTAAGTGTAGCACAACCCATCAATTGTAAGCATAACCCATCAAACTAGTTACAATTGTAGCACACATCAATCTAGAGAATCATGGAATTTGCAATAATAAGCGATGGAATATCAACTCAAGTATAGATTG